AAATCTGAGTTATGTAAATATGCAACACATATTTAATTTAGATTTGTGTAATGTTAATCTTACTAAAATATTAAATTTTTATAAAAATCTTAATTTAGACTAATTCTGAAAATCGGCATATATGAAATCCTTTTTTTATAGATTTACTGTACAGATATATCTGTTATTTTTGCAAATTCTAAAAACTCAAATAAACTAAATCCTATTTTAATATTACAAAAAATGCTAATTTAATCTTTATTATGATAGTATTTTCTAAAGATAGATTTTTTAATTAACTTAGATATTTTTTTTAAATATATGTATTGCATATACATATCATTTATATTTTACATTATAATAATATAATAAATATAAATAATAATTCATTAAATTCAACCTCAAGATTAAAGTCTAGTTAATGAATTTAATATTTATTGCTATGTTAAAATTAAGGTTAAAGTCTATTTCTATAAAATAAAAAAAAAAATAAAACTTTAAAATAGTTAAATAACTTTTTTAATAATAAAAAAAACAAAAAAAAAGTTTTACAGTAAAAATACTGTAAAATTTACCTTTTTATAATTGGAAACTTGAAATACAAAAACCTATCTCTTAAACTGTAGGGGTTAAAATTAATTTTAAAAATTTTTGAATTTTTAAAATATCTTAAGATCTAGTGATCATAGAAAGATGAAATTATATTTGTTAAATTCCTCTTATTAAGACGCATTTAATAGTAATAAAATCATATAACAGGACCCCGCTTACTTCTAATAGAGGTCTCCAAAAATATAAGGTAAAATTTATATTAAAAAAAAATTTTAGGTCTCTTAATAGATAAAGGTAAAATTATATATATGACAAATAAAGGTCTCCGGATATGTAAGGTAAAGTTAAAATAGGTTTCCGGTTTTATAAGGTAAAATCAAATATAAGTTTACAAATGTTTCGGTAAATAATAAGGTAAAATTGTATATAAAATTTAATATTTACCTTATATATACTAATTTGAAATATTGTACAACAATTATTACAATATTTGGTAATATACGTTCTGTAATTTTTTCTCAAAATAAAAAATTTATTCTCTTCTTTATACTTGTAAAAACCATTTTATATTTTTAATTTTATTTGCATTAGCACTATCTTTTTGAAAATTATTACAAAAATTAGCTTTTAAAATATAAAAATTCGTACAGCAATTAGCAACTTCAGAATTTAATTTCAGTACTTTGGTTAAATCAAATCATATTTTACTATCTAAGAAAGTTGTTTAGTAAGGTCGAACTACTTATATTTGAATTTTTATAGCAGTTGGAGTAATATTTATTGCATACGAGCATTTTTTTATTTTAATATTAACTTAAAATTTACGTTTTTTGTTTATTAAATTCGGAGCGTAATTTGGGCATTTTAGTCAAATGAAATCACCTTTTTAAGCTTAAGTAATATTGTTCGGCGAGATCGAAACTACCTGAATATTAATTTTCATAAGAATCAGTTTAATATTTACGGAATACGAGCAATTTTCGCACTTTTAATTTTTTTTTATTTTCCCGATCAGTGATTATAGGGCGTAATTTGGGCACTTTGGTCAAATGAAATCACTTTTTCATGCTTAAGTAAAGTTGTTCGGCAAGGTCGAAAATATTTAGATAAATATTTTCATAGCAGCTGGATTAATACTTATGGGGTACGAGCATTTTTTCATAATAATACCAATTACGAATTTATTTTTTTTAAAAAAAAATTAATTAGATTTTTTTAAAGAAAGTAAGTGAATAATAGTTTCGAAGTAAAGTTAAAGATGTGTGTCTTTAAGATTTTTTTTATAGTATTTTTGTAATTCAAAGTACTTTTTTTACTAATAAAAGTTATTTATCTTTAAAGAATAAGAATTAAACTTAGTAAAAATAAAAAATTTTTAAAATTTATTGTAATGATTATAAAATATTTTGTTTATTTAATATTTAAAAAAATTTAGGTCTCTGAAAATCTAAGGTAAAATTTAATATAATTTTAAAAGGTCACTATATATATATGGTAAAATTATGAGATAAGAAAGGTTGGTAAAATTACTAGTAAATCTGAAATTTTGCCCGGAGACCTTTATTAGAAGTAAGCGGGGTCCTCATATAACTCTAAAATTGATAGATAAAAAGTTATATTAATTTATAAATTTTTAGATTTTATAAGTTATACTGTTACATAATATTTGTAGAAGGACAATTTTATTTCTATCAGATTCTTCTCATTAAAATGCATCAAATGGTGGTAATTTTATATTTCTAGGGTTAATGGATAAAAAGATATTTCAATTTGAAAAATTTAACTACTATTTATTATAATTTGTCAATCATTTACTTTTAACAAATCATTAATCAAATTGAACTTTTTTTTTATTTTTACTTAGAAAATACTATAAAATTTATTAAAAAAATATTGGTTTATATAATAAAATATTTTAAGATATTAAAAGTGTCTTTAATTAAAAAACAAAATTGCAGGCAAATTTGGCTGCAAAACAGTTTAAGGGATAAAATAGAAAAAAAATACTAGAAATATTCTTTTAAAAAAAAAGAAATAATAAAAATAGTATTTATTTAAAACTTTAATAAAAAAGAGTTTTTTAAATAAATAAAATTTTGATTTAAATAAATTAAAAAAAAAATAAAAATAAATAATAAACTGAAATAAATAAAAAAAAAATAGAAAAATTTTATTTAATTAAGTTTATTTAGTTTTTTTAGCTTTTAATTTAATGTGCAAAAATGGAAATTTTGTTTATTTAAATAATTATTAGTTTAAACAAATCAAAAAAAAACAAAAATTTTGATTTAAATAAACCAAAAAAAAAATAAAATAAAAATAAAATTTTCAATTTAAATAAATAACTTATATTATAAAAATTAGATCTGATGGTAATATAATAATATGTTGTATTCATTACTATATTTAATATATACTTTATAATACTAAAGAATTACTTTGACTTTATCTTATAAATTTGAAGATCTTTATTTATTGTATATATAATTTTACTTTAAACTATTAAGAGATTTAATTTTTTTTTTTTTAATATAAATTTATCTTATATTTTTAAAAATCTTTATTAAAGTAAGTGAAATTCTGTCTTATCACTAATAGTATCATAACTTTATTTAAAATCTATTTAACTGAAAAAGTAAAAAAAATCTATACAGTCAACTCTTAATATAATGAAGTGGATGTCTGAGTTAATCAGGCTTTCGTTATAGGAATATTCATTAATATAATGGGAAAATCTGGTATAACCTGAAAAATTTTGGTATATTAGAATATATTGTTGTATAATAATTGTATTTTGTAATATAAAACCACAAATTACATAAAATATTTTGTTATATTAAAAAAAAATTTGTTATAAAAGAAAATTCATTATTAAAAGAGGTATTTTTCATAGGAAATAAAATTTGTGCGCGCCCGCGCATATGCGCACCCCTCCATTTTTGGTAATTTTTATATAGTAAATTTGTCAATCATCAATTATCACGTGACTTTAGTAAAATCTCGATTTTTTTAAATATTCATACCGCAACTCTCACGTACATATTATAGAGCCTTAAAATTTATTTATTATGCGTATTTTTGCCCATTCTACAACTTTACTTAATGAGCCATGAAGGGTTTAGAATGTCATTTTTGACTTTTATATATAATATATCCATGGGGGTGCGCACATGCGCAGGTGCGCACAAATTTTAAACCCTTTTTCATATACAATTTATAAATTTTACTTCATTAAATGATATGTGGCATTTAATTAGTAAAATTCGGTATAATGAGATTTTTTCATATGTTAAAATCTGCATCATACTGAAGATTTGTTATATTATAAAATTCATTATATCAAAATTTGTTATAAGAAGAATTGACTGTAAAGCTTATTAGTTTACTATAATTCCTATTGAAGTATGTTTAAATTTAATAATATATATACAAACCATTTTTTAAGTTTATCAAAGAAATAAATGTTAATAGAAGTTATAGAATAATTTTGAATATATAAATAATATATTTCAATAAAAATTATAAAGTAAGGCTATAGCAAGTTTTGTAATTATCTAGTTGACCTTACTTAAAAGTCAGAACTTTTTAGCTAAATTGGTTCATTTTACCTGTTTAGTAAAACTAACTATTTAACAGTATATCAGTATATATATAGGATTTTTTAGAATAATAGCCAATAGATAATTTATAGTTAAATTAGTTTTTTATTTTAATATTTGCTTTATTATAAATAATAATTATTGTGTTATTGTTCAAAGCAAAGTAAAGAATAATATATATATGTTTATGTACTATGAAAAAAAAATTGATCATATGAATTTTTCTGTCCACCATGTAATCGTTACCTAATAAAATTACAAATTTTAGTTTTTGCTTCAGACTTACAATGGTTTCCATTTCCTAATAGTAAGAATATATAAAAAGTATAATTAAACTGTAATGTAATTGCAAATATATTTGATATTTAGCCAATAAAAAAAAAATATCAATTATTTAGCTATTAACAAAAAATATCAGTTTGTCAAAATCAGTATGATCCTATTAAACTGACCAATAAATGTATTTAAATAGTTCTTTATTACAAAATTCATAAATGTACTGTAATTAAAAAAAATAATATTCATTCTATATTTTTAATAATTATTTTTATATTTTGATTAATTATATAGAAAATTATTTATCTAAAAATGAAAATAAAAATAGAAATAAAATTAAAAAATTAGTTATTAAAATAGTAGTTACAAATTGTTAAAAAAAAATTACTTTAATATATATATGTAATTACAATAATATATATAATTTGTCTGCTCTTAATCCATCACCTAATATATCCTTTTAATATACAATCTTGATGTATTTGTTGAAACAAGTATATATAATTGTAACAATCTTGAATCTAAGATTTAATTAAAGTATTATAATGATAATATGTAATACCAATAACTGGTTCAAATTCATCAGCTATCTTATTTTAAAGGTCTAATTATATTTGTTAAGTAGATAAATAAATCTCTTCTTCCTCTTCTTCGGGTATTCCACTTTCCAGGTCTCTAAAATTTTCTCTTTGTTGACCAATATTAATACTTTCACTATTAAGTGGAGATGGTGGATAATGTTGTCTTGAAATAGAAATATTATTTGGATGAATATTACTGAATATACTATCCATTTCTTCTAATGAATTTCCCTTTGTTTCTGGGTAAAATATGTGTACAGATATTGCCATTATAATACTAAATATTCCAAAAATTATATATGTACTTTAAAGAAAAAAAACTTTTAATAAAGATAAACTATTAAATTAAAAAATTTTAATTAACAAAAGAAACTCTTACCCCCATGTAATACTATTATAAAATAAATAATTAAATTAATAAAAGAAAATAATTCGTATAGTATTGAATTAAAAATTTACCTATTCAATAAAATCGGTACAATTTGTCCAAGAACGAAATTAAATAACCAATTAAACGCAGTTGTTATAGACATTGCTTTACCTCGAATACTAATATTATAGCTTCAATTAATTATAAGTAAACTAATTAGAAAAAACTATATAAGCTTACCGTAATGGATAGATTTCAGCAGGATAAATCCATCTGGTCTAGGAATAGCAATTGTAATTTAATAAATTTTATCTAAAAAAAAACTAATATATTATAGAAATGTAAATTTTGTATTACCGGACCCCATGAATAAGCAAAACCAGCCACAAAAATATATATAAAAATAATAACAGCTAAGGAGCTTGCTTTATTATCTAATTTTATGAAATTTTTTCCTAGTGAACTATCAAAATACTTTGTTCCATTTATTGCTAATATACTTCCTATGACCAACATTGATGCTCCCATTATTATGCTTCCCGATATTCTTGGAGAAAAATATTGAGTCACTTCAAAATATAAAACAAATTTGGATGAAACCACATTTATCGATTACTTTTAACTTACAAAGTTGGTCTACGTCCCCAACGATCTACCCAAAGTATTGCAGGAATTGTAGCTAATATGTTTACAAACCCTACAAAAATAAATATATCTAATGAAAACATGGCATACTAAAATTTTTTGTGATCACGTGATTACCGTTAATTCCTGTAGAAAGATCAATTCCGGCATTATTATAAATTTGAGGTGCATAAAACTACAAAAGATCGAAAGCAAATAAGCAATGTAGATTTTTTTTTGAGAAATAAAAAACGAATTTTTGTTTTATTTACCATAATAGCATTTATTCCATTCAATTGTTGAAAAATCTGAATAAAGATTCCCAATAATACTCTTCTACGAATATTTTCGGGCCCTCTTTTAACCAATTCAGAATAATTTTTTGCAGCAAATTCTCGTTCGAATCTCACATTATCTTTGATTTCCGTGTATTCCTTCTGTACAGCCACTGCAGTTCTATCGCCACCGGCTCGTAATTTTGCTAATACTGTTATTGCTTCTTCGTCACGATCGGAATGTACCAACCAGCGTGGTGAAAATGGAAGAAAAGGCATCCCGAAGGCTAACGAACAAAAGAATCGTCATGAAATATGAACAATGAGCAAAAAAAAGTATTATTTAAATACCAAGTATTAATGCTGGAACATTTTGTATCCATAATGGAATCCTCCATTGTGCAGATGAATCAAATTTTTCTGTAGCGTAATTAATCCAAAATGAAATTGCAAACCTAAAAAAAAAATACAAGTAAAAATCAAAATTTCGCTTAAATCACTTAACGAAATGTAAATATATACTGTATTTACCCTATAGTAATTGACCATTGTTGAAAAGATATTAAACGACCACGAATTTCTTTTGGACTTATTTCAGATTGATACTTTATTATAATTACATTACGTAGGTGTAGGTTATTATTTATATTTTTAAATACGTGTAATTCGTAGAATGCAATTAATTTTATCACTTACCAGAGGTACGATCATAGAAAGTATACTAAAATAAAGTGCATAAAATATTATTTATGTACTCAATTTTCTAATTGTGATTAATAAGACAGACACGTTAATATAAACTTACCCAATTGATACGCCAGCAACGACTCTTCCAAAATACAATTGAATAAAAGTCGTAGCAGTTGCTTGCAAAACACTACCGACAATAAACACCATAGATGCACCAAGAATCGAGAATTTTCTACCAATTTTATCAGCAAAATATCCTGAAACAAGTGCGCCTATGAAACATGAAATAATTAGATTTTTTCCTGGTTACTGCGCCTCATAAATTAATATTGTACTTTACCAAAAAAACATCCTGCTAACAGCGAAGATACAATTGATCCTTCTTTTGCAGGTCCAGAGGGAAACTTTTCGCGGAAGTGAGACATAGTAAGGATTCCGGATATGACACCTATTAACAGAAATTTTTTTTTTTTTTTTTGATCGTCGAAATAAAGGATTTACATATACTGTATATAAATTTTCATGCAAAGTCTAATTTGACACTTTCATTTTATCGATCATCATTTCTTTCTTAAAAAAAAAAAAAAATTCCCGCCAAAAATCTAAATTTCGTTACTTACCGATATCATACCCAAAAAGTAAACCACCTATATAAGTTTTAAATTTTTATTTATCAAAAAATAAAAAAAAATTCCAAGATTTATAAGATTTATTCGAAATTTAATACAATACCAATAGCAGAAAACGCCGCACACACATATACATAACTGCTTTCATTCATTTTTCTATTATAAAAATTTTATTATAATTATTTTAATTTAAAAAAGAAGCAGCACAATAAATTCATTTGTTACAAAAAAAAAAAAATTTTTTTTTTAATAGCAAGTTTAAAACATGTTTTATCATGGAAAAAAAAAAATATCAACGAACAAAGTAATGAAATAAAAAAAACTATACCATTAATCATTAAAACTCACGTTATAAAATCATTAAAATAATTCCAAAGAAAAAAAGTCGCGATGGATGTTATCGTGAAAGAAAGAAAAAAAAAATTAAGGAGAAGACAAATAAAAAAAACAAGTTACATATTTGGTTTTACATATATATACTTATTTCCCGCAAGATTTCCCAACAATAAAAAATTTTTCATTTAACTAACATAAATCAATTAAACCAAATATTTCTGGGATCATGTTCAATAAAAGCTAACACGCAATTCAAATTATTTCTGCGTGTTTCACTAATAATTAAACGACTGATTGAAGATTTTCCCGAAATTTTCGTTTCTTCACGTGTATATGTTTCCTCCCGTTAAAAAAACATCGACTACACGATATTTTCTAATGAGCTGTCCTTTACTTCTGTACTTTTATTTGATTATTTGTTGAACATGTGATCAAATGATCAATCGAAAAGATTTATTATAAAACTTATTTTAGAGTAACTTGTATCTAAGATAGATATAGTATATATGCTTTGATTTAATTGATATAATAAACGTAAAAGATTATTTTCGAACTATTCATTTCTCAGGGTTAAAATTGTGAAAAAGGCTCTATTAATTCTGCGTATTAGAAATCAATCACATGAAATGATGACGAAATCAATATTTTTTGATCAAAATGATCGGCTCCTCAATTTTTGCTTTTTTTTGCGTTTGTTTGAACAAGCAACTTTCAAGGTCTAATAATACATTAATACATATTTAATATAAATTTTCGATGGATACTGTAATGAACGAAAGAACTTCATCTAATACTATTGGTCCAAGTTTTGGAATGAATCCTGGTGTGTATAATACTTAATTTTCGTTTTTTTTCAAGTCAAAGTCGTCAAAAGCTTTAATTTACGTCTCTTTAAATTCCACCAAAAACTCTTAGTTCAAATTACGGAATGTACATATGAATCTACGTTTTGGCCTCAAATTTCAGGATTTGTTCGTCATGCATTGCAAGCTGATCTTCAAGTTGACCGACCATTGCACACGTACTCACATGAAGAACTTTACAGGTATTCGATATGAAAACAAATTATCATATTTGGTGGTTAAATTAATTATTTATTCATCTTATTTAGGAGTATATATTGGATGTGTTGGCAAGGATTTCATAAAAGACTTTTTTCAGACTTGACTTCAATTATCGAAGAAACTCTTCACTTACTTGGTAACCAATTGAATAATGTTCAACAATTAGATATTTGGTTTCTTAGTTTTGCTAAGATATCCATTAATCATGCAAGAGCTACAGATATTTTAGGCAGCGTATTTGCTTACCTGGTATGTTTATAAGTAAATAAATATTATCTTAAAATTACATACTATTTCATACATCCCTTTCTCATTAGGATAAAACTTATATTCAATACACACTTCATCAAAATCTACGAGATGTGTTAATTTCTAATTTTCAAGAAATCATTATAGAGAAGTCAGAAATGCGAATAATTTATGTTTTTGGTATGGTATTGGAGAATCCTGGTATTTTTGATTTAAACCTTGTCGTAGATGTTATCAAATCATTACATAAGATGAAACCTGGTAATGTGAAGACAATTTTATTTAGCGTCCATAAATTTGCATAATTATTATTTTTGTTAAATTAGTTTTTTTTTTGATAACTTTTAGATTATATATATTTGAATCCAACTTTGTTTCAAAATTCTATCAATGATGTAAAATTACCCTCTAATTTGCAGGATTTACGTGTACGCCATACGGCATTGGAAACCAAATACCAATTGGAAAAATTAAAAAGTGAAGGTTGGGAGCCAGGATTTTCTAAATTGAAAAGATCATTGTCAACTGATGAGGATGTCGAGATTCAACAAGGAGAAAAATCTGTAAAACGCGTGCAATATTAAGTTCTTTCGCAATGATGTGTATAATAATTTATACACACACCATTCTGTACATTAACAATATTTTGAATGTCAAAATTCTATAGCAATGAACCAAAAAAAAATTACTGGCAATAATAAATTTGAACAAACGGTTTTAATATTATTTTTCAATATTTCAAAATTTTTTTTTTTTTTTTTTTTTTTTTTAAAAAAAAAAATAAATTTGCGGATGACAAGAGGAAAAAATAAGGCCACAATCAAAGAACCAGATCTAAGGCCAAAAGTAAGTTTTTTACTTCCCATTAAAGACTATATTATTAATATCCGCTAACTATAATATCAAGGAAAATTATCTAATATGTATATTTATATATGTATATATGTGAATAGGTGTTTCAAAGGCGATACTGATGTTGCACGAATAACATGAGCACCAGGTTATATAAAAATAATGAATATAAACAGTATAGCACCTTTGATATACAGTGCGTAAAACAGCATATTGAGATACAAAGAAGTGAATACACTTATCGTATAATAATGCTGAAAGTGGTGATTGATTAGGGATTTTTAATGCTTATTATAGCACTTCAAGTGTTTCACACACGGTTGACTACGATAGAGCCATATGAAACAACTCGAACTAAGAGGAAAGAAAATAAAGCAGCGCACAATACATATATCCTGTATAGATTGGCCTAGATTAAAGAAATTGTTAATAAATACATTTAATGCAAAATTATTTCTTTACGAAAGCTATAAAATACTAACTCTGAATGCGGAAGGGGCAACAGCAGCGATTTGTAAATTATTTGATAAGGGCTGTTGTATATCTGCTGGTTGATTGTCACATTTGTCGAGGAATCTTATTAAATCTCTTTCAAGTGCTTTTAAACACTTTACCTCTTGTTTCTTTCGACGGATCTCTTGATTTTTTTTATAAAGTTCACGTCGTACTTTTGAATTAAACGGAGAAATTTAGAAAAAATAGATTAATTAGATCATAATTGCGAATAAAAAAAACTTACATTCTCTAGTTTGAGCTTGAATTTCTTGACGTTTAAGTTTATACATAATAGCTTCCTTTTCCAAAGCCCTTATTTCATCTCTTTCCTGAAGAGATCCCTACATATAAGGGAAAGTAAAATATTATTAGTTTTGAGAATACAGATGTAACAACTAATACGCAATACTGAAAGTTTTCAAGTAAAAGGCGAATAACATATATTAAAAACAACTTCTGGCCTAGATGTTAGCTCACAAGTGAACTTACTTTATGTTTTCGTTCCTGTATGATAGCACGATGAGCCAAATTAAACCTGACTTTACGTTTATTCAGCAGGTTATTATTGTTAAGGATGTTCTTTTTCTTTGGCTCAAAGTTTACGTTGCTTAAAATGTCAAAGAACATGTTGTCTCGTAAGTCATTTAACCCTCTAAAACCACCTTCTATACCTCCGCAGCCACCACAACCATAATATCCTCCTTTAGTAGAAGTCAAGCGGGCATTAGTAGCCGAATGACCAAATAGAGGATGTGTTCTGTCTTGGCGAGGAGCCATTAGTAAATAATAGACAGAAAAAATAAAGGAGAAAAAAAAAAATTTTTTATAAAAAAATTTTTTTTTTCTTTAATAATAATTAAAGGAATGCTTGAATCATATAATTGAAATGATGATTGTATTTATAAGTTCTTATAGAAATCGTTTTACAGTAATAGATGGGTCAGTTTTGTGGCGGGAAATTATTTATAATATGTGGTGGTTTTATAATAAAGATTAGTTTTTTTTTTCGTGGGACTTTTGAGTTCCACGAAAAAAAAAAGAGAAGGGGGTTTATTTTTATGTAAGGAAACGCGTTGGTTGTATGAGTAAATTTATAAAAAAATTGCCCGACTTTTTTGTATAATCATGTGATCGCCATTGTTTTTTATATTAGAACAGACAACAGAAAAAAAACAACAGATAGAAAGATAGATGAGACGTTGATAAAACTACTCTGTGCCTTAATGAGTTTATAAAGTAAAATTTCCGCCGGATTACTTAATCGGTTTATTTTACATTTGTTGCTATCTCTTTATAGGTTAGAACAAATTTCATTATTGAATAGAAAATTTATTCTTTCTATGTAACGACTAACGAGTTCTATTAGAAGATAATAGACCAAACAAATTACTGCAAGTCTTACCACCATCACTTTCACTTTCTCTCTCTCCTTTCAACAATAAAAATAATTCTAATTGTAACATTTCGCAGGTTTGTATTCTAACTTGTTTGAGGTTTATTTAATAAAATTGGACTAAATCAAATTTGGATTAAATGTCTAAGCAAATTGTGTAACGAGTGCAGTGTAAAAAAAAATATAAAGTATAAATACATTAAAGATTCCCGAATATTCAAGTAATTTATAATATATATATTTTTCTTCATTTCTTTTTTATTCATTTCTTTTAAAGAAGAAATAGAGATAACGATATTTAAAGTATTTTTGTATAGTAAGAAATTTTTTTTTCAAAGGAAGTGATTTGATTTATTGTACCATATTTTCCGTGATTTACAATGGACAAAGAAAAGAAAATAAAGTTAGATTTATTGATCTGTCCATTTTTTTGTGTAAGAGAATTTTTTTTTCTCAACTTTGTTAACAGATGGTTGATATCTAATTGTAGGAGATGTTGTAATTGTCGTGTAATAATTATAAATATTCGTGATACCGTGAAATGACCGCTCGTGTTCCATTCAGAACTTTTACATTTAACTTTTAATACTGACAAATTAGGTGTTCACAAAAAGATACCAAGAAATGATGAAACAGCATCTCACAATTACTGCGGTAATGATAAAATACACGAATTATATAGTTAGCCGACTTTAGGTTTATGTAAAATGTAAATCCTTTGGTTTTTTATTTGTGCTTATTCAAATGGTGTTCTGTTGTCACATGACATTTACGCCCTCATTGCTGCCAAGATTAGGAATTTTCGACTTTTAAATTGTATGATGAATAAAAAAATTAAGTACAAATTTCATTATACCAAATCACATAGCCTTCGCATGATCGAAATTGCACTTCGTTGATATCCTCCACCAAATAAATAGTAATGGTTCAAGTAATGGTATAATTGGTACAATTCTGAGATTTCATACAAATTATTAAATGAAATAAGCATATCATAAATAAAAGGTATTCATAAATCGTACCTTGTCGTTGTTCAAAGTAAGGTTCCTGACGTGGATGATATTTATGATATTCTCGGAAAAATTCTTTTATAAACACGAAACAAAATCAGTTCCAAAATTAATTCTTGTGATATACTGTATATATAATTAAGTATATTTTAATATATAGTAGATTACAAATACCACTTCCGGGACTTCCAAACATAGTCAGAATACCAAGTTCGTATTCATTGTGACCATAACAAGAAGAAGGATCATAAATAACTGGTTCATTTGCATCTAAATTAACGCCCCAATTTCCACTCCATAAATCTCCATGAATTAATACAGGTTTAATTTCGATATCTTTCATTATATGATCAACAACTTTATCTATCACTATTTCACCAAGTCTACGTAATTCACTGTCCCCTGGGTTATTTTGTAGACATTTCTCTAATATAGGTCTTAATCTTCGTTCTTTATAAAATGTTGGCCAATCAACTTCCCATGTATTATCTTGTTCTGTAATGCCACACATCGTCATAACTGGAAATCCGAATTTTCCATTTGGAGATTGTGAAGAGTGCATTTCAGCTAATTTCCTAGCAAATAATATCTGTATCGACGCTGAATTCGAGGTTGAGAGTCGTATATATGTCGTCACAATAAATGCACCTTCGTTAGGCAATGTTCCAAAACATAATGGTTTTGGCGCAAATCCTGGAACTGCTTCATGTATCGCGTTCAACGACTCTGATTCACCTAAATAAATTATTATTTATTAAATAATCTATTTGTTATACATGGGCTTTTCAAGGTAGCTTAACTTACCTTCGAACATTAGACGAGAATTTGACCCACTATTTGTCTTTACGAACACATTACCCGTGTCTGTGGATAGCTTAAATGCATCATTAAGGCAACCCCCTGACAAAGCCGTTTTATTCAAAACTTTTGTACAAATACCATTATTTTGAAGAGTTTCTAGAATAACTTGTGCAATTTGACTCATTATTGGTAAATTAAATGTATATTGAAAAAACTGTTAAATATGTAAATTCAGTTTTACTTACAAGATTAAGTAATCATTAGTCATGTGAGCATAATAATTTCCATGTGTATTCCTGTGTATTCCCTTTTGTGAAAGAAATTTGCAATTTACGACCAATGATCCGCAGCAATTTAAAATTTCTATCCTGTTTGTGGACATAGCTACGTTTCATTTTCTATTACATCATAAAAAAGAAAACCATATCTTTTTCATTCGTTACTGACATTTATTATTATTTATATAGTTGCTGTCTTCACTTTTTTCTTTTAACTATTCCACTAAATCCGACTCCCTTTTATACTGCTAAACGTAAGAATTTTTTTTTTCATTTGTTTCAAATGATATTCTAAAAATTTTACATAAGTGGGCGACAATATATTTGTTGTTCTATTCTCATGCTTTCCTTTAATAGTAATCATTCATTTTTTATTTAATAAAACCGTTACGCTGCATATAGCGTTATTTTTTAAATTCCTTTGAAAGCGTTTTAAACTTACTTTATATTTCTATTTGCAATTATTTTATTTTTACTTATTGCAGACCGTATATTATTTATTGCTCCTTCTTACGTATTACTTTATTTGACACAACTAAATACAAGGTTGACTCCTTGGTTTAATACTTTCCTTTTCTCTTTCCTCCTGTAACGATTCGAATTCCTTTGTTCCTTGTTTAAAAAAAGCTGTTCAGAGGAAGACTACGCAAAATGTTTGACTTTTCATTAATCGCCAATAATCCCTTTTACCTTGCTACATTAGTGTTATCCTTGGTAAATTGGTGTTTAATTCTTTATGTTTAAATTTACCTCATTTAATTATTCATTTTAAATTCTTATAGATTGGTTGGATCATTACATTTGCTGGTACTGCCGCAGCCAAAATATCAGGTGCTCCATGGTTCTTTATAATTTTCGAGTTATTCATCATTTTGGGCATTGCTGCTGCTATCGCAACAGACTCTGTCAAGTATTATCGCTTTGCTGTATCCTTATATTAAAGAGATTTTTTTCAAATAGTTTATTTCTCGACGATACTTTATAATTATCTTGAACACTTAATTGCAATTTAGATTTTAACATTTTTAGGTGTTAGTCTTGCCTTCATAATCGCAGCAGATGTAATAACTATTGACTCAGTTAATGGTACACCCAGTTTTATTAACATAAGTGCTCAAAGTGCTCAAAATCCTCAAGCATTTCAAGCAATTGCGGCTGGTTCAATTTTCCTTTCTATTGTGACGGTATTTATAAATGGTTTGGAATATTTACGTATGTAAATATGTATATCTATACTAATTAAATTTCTAATAATTAAAATAGTTTGTATGGATATTTAGTTTTGGATCTGAGGAAGGTTCTATTGTAGTAAACAGCATAAATTCATTAGCTATAAATAAAGTTGACGGAAATACAACACATCATCGTGGTTTCCCACCATCTGGTCCAATTGCAATGATGCCAACTTCGATACAGCAGGAGCAACAAGTAAACAATACAGTTGCTGTTTCTCCAAATGCTGATTATGCTTACAAAGCAAAGGCTTTATATGATTGTAAGTCCATTTCTTGATGTTATTATTTTGGGTGAAAGGTATACAAGAAATTAACGAGAATAGATTATTATACCAGAAATCTGATATAAAAGATGAGGAATGCTTATTGAACATTCTCCAATGTTTTTTTTTAATAGACCAAGCAAATCCAGATGATTTAAGTGAGCTTTCGTTTGCTAAGGGAGAAATACTTGATATTGCCGACAACAAAGGCAAATGGTGGCAAGCAAGAAAGGCCGATGGCTCAACTGGTATAGCACCAAGCAATTATGTATGTACAAATATAAAAAAAAAAAAAAATTCTTTCCATAAGTTATTAACTTATCTTTTTTTCTTTCACTGCAGCTGCAGCTCGTTTAGGATATTTTATAAGGGAAAAGTAGCAATTGTATCAGAGAAAATTTTGTGCTGCAAAACCGTGTCCGCTTCTGTTATATCAAACTTATAATTAAACTAATTTTTTCATTTGCATGCACGAGAAAATATATATCATCATCAGTTAATGCACTTGTTTGAAAATTTGCATTTTCATATCATTTAATATTTTTTTTTATTATAATATATAGTGTTAACTTCCATAAATAATTCCTATTACTCATAATTGTATTTTTATATTAAATATCTAAAATCGCAAATTATTTTCAGAATTTGAATAGACAGTATGTTTTATTTGTGGCACGAAAAAATTAATAATTACTATTATATAAAAAATTTTTTTCTTCTTTAACAGATAATTGAACGGTTAGTATGTAATTAATTATACAGTATTATAATTTAACCTTGGACATTAAGAATCTTGCTAATTTGCTCTCCGGGTGATTTCACCTATATATAAATTTATTAAAATCAAGTGATTTCACACATAATGAATCATGTATAAAATTTTTTTATCTTAAACAAAAAAAAGTTTGGTTTCCATTCAAAAAAAGTAATTTATACGAAATTTATCAATCATCATTTTTTTTTTTTTTAACGTGAATATATTTGTAATACATATGGGCTGATTTATGGAATTAAGTTTTTATATTCAAAAAACTAACTTTATTAAGCAAATGCAAATATAAGTTGAAAATGATGGATTCACACCAGCTGACATAAATAAAATTGATTTAATTATATTATTTTTTGATTTTTTTTAATAATATCATTAAAATTAAAAAATTTAAATATAATTGTCATGACAAAATATTGAATAACTTAACGTGTATATGTGCTAGATGAATGAATTTATATTCATTAGAAAGAGGTAACCAAGAGCTATCTATAAACCAAATATCACATTAATTGAATCACAAGTTGCTGAATAATTACGTTCAATATATTTATTTTTAACTTTTGACTTTGATCATTAATATCTTCACATCTAGTAATTCGATCTGAATGATCTTTTTTCGTTCAGGTAGAGTAGGTTCTGAGCTTTCATATGAATATAAATATATGTGTTTAGCATGCATGTACACCAAGATATTAACGATTTTGTTAATTGAATAAAACTCCGACACAAAAATTTTTAAAATTATAATTCTTACCAAAAGATGATCTTTACAGGTATTATTGAGCTCTTTTTACTTTACTTAACAAGGTTTTATTTGCTATTTCTGTTTTAAATTGAATAAATTAATAAAATCAATTTTAAAAAGTAATTAACAAGTAGAATAAAATCAGTATAGTAAAAACAAAAAAAACATCTCAAAAACTCTAAATCATAACTCACATTTTTATTTTGTATATATTTTTACTAAAAAAAAGAAGGAACTAAGGTTAAAAATAAATGAAAAAAGATTTTTCTTATTAATATAAATTATTAATATTTGTTTTCTTACTTACTGATTAAAAAAAACCTGCTATATATACCTATAAACTTTTCTAAGTCACCTAACAAAAATCTGATTGAAAAGTGATTGAAAAGTGATTGAAAAAGAAAGTAGTTGCCATTGTTATTTTTGAATAAACATTAAAAATTTTTTATTTATTTTTTGATAGATTTAGATCATCTGATTATGTAACACATATAATTTAAGCTTGTGAAACATAATTCTTATTAAAATGTTATGAAAATCTTAATTTTGGCATATAAAAATAAATTTTTTGCAAACACATTTATTGTGAATAGAAAAATCTATAATCATGCTATATGGTTCATATGATAACCCTTAATACCACCACTAAAGTTAAAAATAATTGAAGTTAAAGATAATATTAAATGAGATTAAATGAAATTAGAAATAAAAATATATAAGATTAGAATGAATCAAAAAATCATAATAAAACCAAATCAAACATAAGTAAAAATGAAATCTTATAAAGAAAATAAAAAATCCCAACCAAAGGAAAAGAAGTCCATAAGAAATCCAAAAAGAAACTCAAAGAAAAAATTAAAAAAAACTCAAAGAAGAAATATGAAAGAAATCTAAAGAAAAATAAATAAAAAATCCAAAGTAAAGATCCAAGAAAAAACCCAAAAGAAACTTAATGAAACCCAAAAAGAAATCCAAAGAAAAAACCTGAAAAAAAAAATCCAAAAGAAATACAATGAAATCCAAAAATAAATACAAAGAAGAAGTCCAAAAAAAAAACCTGGCCAAAAAGAAACTAGACTTCTGAAATTCTGAAAAACTTGAAATTTACTATTTATTACATTTACTAGAATGCTAAAGTTAAAAAATCTACAAAAAGAAAATGGGTAATTAAGGAACAATAGCAAATAAAAAAATAAACAAATATTATAAAAAAAAGCTTACCTTCAAAAGTCTAAGAAGAAAGAAAAGACTTTAAAGAGTATTAAAAGACATTAAAAGATATTAAAAGACATTAAAATGTTAAAGGTTATCAAAAATGGTAAAAGATATTAAAGAACATTAAAAAATAGGTTATTCATTATCTGATAAATAAATAACTGATAAACAAAAAAATAATCAGGTGATATCATTTACAAATTATAATAGGTAGTTATAATTATACTTATATTATACTTAAAATATATTTAAAATACTCTCAAAATATATTTTTAATATACTTGTATTTTATCCAAATACTTAAATTATACTTAAAATATATTTAAATTAAAGTTTAAGTATGATATAAATGTATTTTTTTAAGTATAATTTAAAATTTTCACTGGTGGTAATTTCACCGGTCATGTGATCATGTGATTACTTATGTTACACAACATAACATGCATATATTTATCATCTATCTATCTATCTTCTTCTATATATTAAAAAACACTGCAATCACGTGGGCGTTATGTTTAGATTAACCATATAAATAAGTTATTTGAATTGTGTAACCCTACTCCTATTCGTCGCCAATGTTACACAAGACCAAAAAAGGAATTTTATTTCTTGCGAAAAACTGAAATTTTGAGTTATACAGGATTCCATAAAAGGAAATTGTCGGTTACACAAATTTCCAAAAAAGGAAATTTTGTCTTCTGTTACTTTTCAGAGAAATTAAAAAAATTGTGTTGCTCAAATTTCCAAAAAAGGAAATTCTTTGCAGATCTTTTAATTCTGGCCGGAATTACATATTAACTGTTGTCGTAG